TGTTAGCCAGGATGGTCTCGATCTCCTGACCTCGTGATCCGCCCGTCTCGGCCTCCCAAAGTGCTGGGATTACAGGCTTGAGCCACCGCGCCCGGCCTCACTATCACTTTTCTAGTTTAAGCCACAGTCCTTTTTCACCTGGACTTGATTGCCTTGGCTTCCGGTATTATCATCTGTAAAATGGAAATAATAATTTTCAGCCTATTGGATTGTTATGAGGATTAAATGAGATAACCATGATAAGCACTTGGCACAGAGTAAATGGCCAGTAAGCATTAATTGTTATTGTAATTGTTATAAGCTGATCAACTTCAATACTCTTCTATTTGGTTCCCTTATTTTCTTCTGTTCTTGCTCTTAGTCACTTTCTCAAAACCCAAACAAACCATATATGACTTATCCATTCAGTAGTAACGTATTTATTTGCTTAAAACCTTTTGGTGGATTTCCCCCTGCTAAGTGCTTGTTACATTTAGGATAAAATTTGGAATCCTTACTGTGGTTCACAAGACTGCATAACCTAGTTCTTGCCTGCTTCACTAACTTTACCTTCCTCCTCTCCTTCACTAAACTCTAGCCACATTGATTTTAATTTCCCTAGTCACATCAAGTTATTTTACAATTCAAGGCCTTTAGGGATGCTGTTTGCCTGAATTGTTCCAGCACCACCATCTACCAGTCATCTCCTTCTGCAGTTTTCAACTTAAGTGATACCTTCTCAGAGAAGCCTTCTTGATGTTATCTGTCCTCTACCCCAAGTCTTAATCTTAAGTCTTATCATTCCATGTATCTTGCTTTATATCATTTCTCAGAACTTGTAATTATTGTTATTATTTTTTGAGACGGAATTTCTGCTCTGTTGCCTAGGCTGGAGTACAATGGCATGATCTCAGCTCACTGCAACCTCTGCCCCCTAAATTCAAGTGATTCTCCTGCCTCAGCCTCCCAAGTACCCGGGATTATAGGCACCTGCCACCACACCCAGCTAATTTTTGTATTTCTAGTAGAGACGAGGTTTCACCATGTTGGCCAGGCTGGTCTTGAACTCTTGACCTCAGGTGATCCACCTGCCTCAGCCTCCTAAAGTGCTGGGATTACAGGTGTGAGCCACTGCACCCAGCCCAGAACTTGTAATTATATATTTACGTGTGTGATTATTTGAAGTCTGTCTCCTATTAGAATATAAGCTAGTGACCACTTCATTTTTATTTCTCAATAATTTGTTAAATAAGCTGGAAGTTGCTGTAAGAACCATCGTGTCTTTTGGAAGCACAAGCTTGCTGATATTCTTGTCATCTCATGACAAACCACATGGCAGAAAGCAAAGGGTTTTCCAGCTTTGGATACTTTTACCCATTTTTATATCATAAAACCATTCAGATTTTAAACTTTTTGAATTGGAGACAAACTTTAGGTCAATTTTCCACTTTCAGTAACAAAACTAACTTTATCTCCTTTGTCCATTTGCTTTATGGATCTTTTTTAAGGAAAGGAAGCCTTCAAAAATCAGAGTCGTGGTTTGTGTATTTTAACAACAGGTTAATCTTTAAGACCAGTAAAGATGAGATTTCCGTAAATAAAGCAAAATTCTGCATTTAAGTCAGTTGTTGGTGAATGACAAAATATTA